TCTGCTATGTGTATTCATGAATCTTGGTTGAACACCTCCTTTCCTTGGCCAGAACACTCGTCTCAGATTTAAAGTGAATTGGTAGAACACTGTTTTTACCTGTAAGCCTTAATAAGGTAACTGAGGTATACTTAGTTTTTCTCTAAAGCTATTTCTTAATATGTTGTCTAGCTTTAAATAGTTAAAAATGATGACCTGTATCATTTTACAAGCAACTCCCAGAATTTTGTTGGTTTTTCAAGTATGCTTATGTGGGGAGTAGAATCTATTGATAAACCTTTCCTCTTTCCCTATCTCCTGAGTATTCAAATTCATCATCTAGTAGATTTCTTGGCTAACTGGCATTCATTCATTCTTTATCTTTTGTCCAGATGAATATCATTTTTCTTTAATACCCTGTGTTTCTGTCTTACATAAAAACTCATTCTTCTGTGAAGCAATTTTTCCTTCCAAAAGAGTCAGCTATTGATAGTTTTTGTTTGTTAAACTATTTAATATACTTAAAATAAATATTAAGTGGAAATATATTTCTGCAGCAGCGATTCTTTAAATTATTTGGGATTTAAAGTTTTCCATTTTAGTTATTGTTTCTAGTAAATCTTTTCATGTTTTGATTTGCTTTTTCAGTATTGTGCTACTTCATAACATTTGATTTGAAAATGTTAAGAAATGCCTGTATTACTGCAATTTCTAGCTTATATTTTTTTCTGTGGTGTTTGGGAGCCAGGGATAGAGCTGGGGCTGGGGAGATATAACTCGGTGGCACAGCACCGCTGGGCAAGTACAAGGTCCAGAGTTTGATTCACAGTGCCAAAAAAAAAGTAAAGTATTTATCACTAGGGAACATGCATATTTGTAGAAAATGACCCTGACACTATCACCAAATGCCTACTTTCTTTGTGTTTCTAAATATGTGGTTAATTTGATTTAGATTTATTTGTATTTTAAGAAGTTATATACTTTTTGAAATACAAACAGGACCATTTTACCACTAACCATTAATTTTTAATTGCTACTTTCAGACTTTTGATGTTATATGTAAGGAATGCAGTTTCTGTTATGTTACTGTCTATTTTAAAAGTTCTCAAAGCATGATAGATAATTCACATATACTTTTAATGAATAAGGCAAAAAATGTTCTTTAAAACTAATGCATAAATATTCAACTAACATGTCTGAAGTAGAGGCTATTAATCCAACCAAATCTTGATCTTTATTTAAAGGTTTTACTCTGAATTTTGCTAATTTTTCATTTATTTTAAAGGGTATCACAGATTATTTTGATAGAAACATTCATTCTTAGCATGCTTCTGATGGAAGAGTATAGGATATTAACACGAAATCATTTGGACATTATTGATGTAGAAAATTTCAACCAACCTGAGCCTGCCTTAGCAGCTACCTCAGTAACTGCCACCTTCCAGGATTATCAAACTTTTTTGAGGTATCATGGGGGAAGTGTGACGACATGATGTAACAAAAAGCACTGGAATTAGAAATGATGTAGCCAATATTTTGAGCCCAGTTTTGCAATGCAAATCACTTTGACATTTTACCTGATTACACAACATCGTGGTGAAGATTTAGATGGATTGATTAAACACCTAATTTTCAGTTTCTTTGTATATACAAGAAGAGTAATTTGGAAGCAAAATGTTCGTTTCAGATCTAAAATTGTGGTTTTTATTTTTCCTGAAATATATATTGATATTTTGAAAAGTCCTCATTTATATTTATAAAATTTAAGAATTAGGAAATTATGGCCAGCAGCATGACACGGTAGACTCTTTACAGTGAGATGGAAGATGAATGTGGCTGATAAGCTGTTACCTTCTCTCCCAAACTTCAGTGGATTTAGTTGCAGTGTTTTGGATTCTATTTATTATACTGTACTGTATTTTCAAATGTTCATAATGATGTTTACTTAAATATGGTCAGCACATTGTCCTGACCATAATGTCCAGTAGTTTTTCAAGTGTTATGTTTAAAGTTTTGAGTGAATTTCAGAAAACATTGCATAAATTGTCTCTCCAGGCCCTAAGCTTGGATATTATTTTTTAGCTTTTATTTATTTCAAATAGTACTCCCAAAACTGGTTTAATTGCTTATAGGTGCTGCTTAGATTTGAGTTTGAAAAAAATGATGAAAGGTAGGTCCAGTATTGCCCAGATTTAAGATAATGTTTTAGAGCCAAGTACTTGGATCTTCAAGTACTTGAAGGGTATGATTATTAATTAGGTATATGAACTTTTGACTTTTACTAGTAGTGGTGTTCTTGAGGAAACTGGCATTTGCACAATATTTCTTTTTGATTTTAAAACTTGACCAACATAAAATGTGAGAATACTTTGTAAGCTAATTTATTTTCAAATATAAATTGTTTCAGAATAAAATGATGTAAAGTTAAAAACTTCTTTCCCCACCATTATTCTTTACAAGTCCAGAGATAAATGCTATTACGACTGGTATGTATTGTTTGAGAAATTTCTTACATGTATACAAGGATGTGTATGTGTTTCTGTGTTTCTTTCTTTTACACAATAATACAATTTCTTTTTATATGAAATATCTTGTACCTTTTTCTGTATCATTACACATAGATCTTCTTTATATGACTTCATAGTGTACCATCAGATGGCTGCATCATAATTTAGCCAGTCCCCTTAGAGTATTTTGCTTTTAACAGTATTTCTGTGAAGATTCTTACATGCATGTCTTGGCATTCTTTTGTTTACAGAAAATTCTAGCAGTGAAATTGCTGACTCAGTATATTTAGTGGATTTATGTAGTCTTGATTGTAAATTAAATTGAGCCTTCATATTTATTGATTAGATTTTGTTTTGTTTTTGTTGTTAAACTACCTGTTGATCTTTTACATACTTTAGCGTTACTCATTTTTCTTCTGTTGGTTTACTCTAATTGTTAGAATTTGGTAAATTATGTAACATCTCTCTATTAATAAATAGTTCCCCAACTTATCCTTTTATTCTTGTGCTGTTTTGCTTTGTTTATTTGATTATTGTTTTTAACCACTCAATAATATTTCCATGTACTCAGAAGTTTGCTTTATTCTAGGTTTTATGGACTTTGTTTTATATTGGCCTTTCCCACTCTAAGATTAAAATGTTACTTTTTCTGGTACTTTTCTAGTCATTTTGTTTGCTTAGATCATTAACCCATTTGGAATTAACTTTAGCCAGTGAATTGCCTAGAACTATTCACATGGTAGCACATGTTTTTACTCACTCACTTGAAATACTTCTTGATGTTCCATATTTCTATATTGAGAGGTGGGATTTTGTGAAGTGTCACATGCATATGAGATGTAGTCTTTCCTTTGATAGATCATAGAAAGTTCTACCAGCATCAACTCTTTTACTACTTCAAATTTATAAATTGTGTTATCTGCTGGGGTGCTTTCCATTCTCTTTTTATGATTTGCTATATGTTTTCTGATTTTTCTTCCAGATAAATTTTAGTGTAATTTTAGTCATTTCTGTTCCCCCTCTCTACCTCCATCCTCCAAAAATCACCATCGTGGGTTACTTCAGGGAGTGAAAGGGAGAGAGATGGAGGAAGAATAAGAGTTGATGATGGTGGTCTGAATGCCATCTGTAGTCTAATGAATTTTTATATTCAAGAATAAGCCATGAATTCATCCAATAAAGCATTAATAGCATTTATCATGTAATTTCTACACATTATTTGTAAAACATGTGTTTATTACTCTTTAAGAAAAGATTTTTTCCTTTATATTTCTATGTTGATTATGGGATTTTACGTACTAAACTTTCCCGATATGCTACTTTCTCTTAGTAATTTATATTGTGTTAATGTCTCATTTCACCTAGTTTTTCAGGTTCATTTTCATAATTTATAAATTAACAATTCTTAATTTGTTCCGAATCTGTGACTATGTCTCTTTCTCATTTTTAGTATATTTGTGTTTAATTGCCATTTTGACAGTCAATAGTGAGAATGCTTTTTCCCAGGTTTGGTATAATCTTTGAAGTTAGAAATCTCCCATGCAAGTAATCTGCGTGCCTCGTCCTGCTGTTTAGTTTTTTGTTTACTTCTGTCTCCAATAAAAATGAAAACCATTCACTGAGCTTTGTATACCATGATTATGAAGTCACAGCTTAGCTTTCTTCTAAGCTAAATAATGTTAGTTTTATTACAACTTCAAGGAACCTAATTTTCTAAACTCTGTATCCTCTTTAGGAATTTCTTTAGAACTCCTTTTGGCCTAACTTCTTAACGTGCCTCTTTTAGGGGGTTCTTATTCACAATTACAGTGCTTATGTTTAAAAATAGGCTATCCTGCCATGTACTTTAATACTCAAAGTAACTCCATTCTCAGCAGAAATGATATGAACATAGAATTAAAACTAGACAACTGTTTTTTGTGTGGTGAGGTTTTCTGGAGCAAAGCACTATTACCAGACAGTGTCATAGGTAGACTATGTTTTAGTAGTCCTGAAACTAAAGCTTGTCACATAAATATGCCTATGGGGTCCCCTGTTTGTCCAGAAATGCTGCTGCTTATTTTTTGCTTTGATTGTTGCAGTTTTCTTGATATTTTTGAATGAGTTCTGAGATTGGCATAGAAACTAAGTTTATAAAGCAAATAAGAAATTTCTAAAGAAAAGGCAAAGCAAGAGTTAGAGATGTATGTTTCTATACAGTTATAATCAGATACCAACATATTTTCCAGGATAAAATTGCTTTAATATTTTAATGCCTCATTAGACTAAATTTCAACTTTGTAAGGTTATATCTTCCAAAAATCCAGCATTTAAAGATGGTACAACTGAATAATTTTAAAGCAATTCAGTAGATAATTTTTAAAAGGAAGCAGCAATGATTTTGTGTTTAATTCTATTTTTTATATGTGTCTTATACAAGTATGTTAATGATTTGTTCCCATGAAGAAAACAGTTTTTTTTTTAAAATTATACAGTATTATGGAATATTGTCAATTTTTTCTCTCTTTTTTTAAGGTCATGGAAAATGGAAGATTTGCAAAATACAAGTATTTTACTCATGTCATGATCAATAAAACAGATATGTTCATGATAACGAGACGGTAACTTGCCTTCTTTGTCTACCATAAGTCAGTGAGAGATTGTTAGTCCCTTGTGAAGAAATTATTGTTCACCTTTGTACCATGTAGTCACTAATTCCCGCTAACATTGGTCGTCTTGCTTGGTAAAGCTGGCTCCCAAGACATTATGTAAATTCCTGTTTAGCTTTGTATATGCATACAGATAAACAGAGTCAAGCACAAGCATAAATTGAGTATTTTAACATTTGCTTCAGTAAATTCAGTGAGTACAGAAATAACTGTAAATTATCCTCTCAAAGGGAAACTTCCCTTCTGTGAAAAAGTGTACAACTTCAGGTTACACCAGAGCAGTGTGCTGATGGTAGCTATTCATTAGGCTGTAGATAAATCCACCATATACATGGATCTACCATTGAAAACAGGGGAATGTTTTATGTAAGTACTCCAAGCTATTATTACATCTTCAGGTCGACCTGTAGACATGGGAGAACATATGCAAAACTACAGTAACAACCTTGTTCTACTATAATGGGGGTTTGGTAGAGGGGAGGAGGCACGGAAGATTGAGATGAGAGGCATTATATGAAGCCTGAGTAAACGTCTCCATTTGCATTTCAGCCAAGGGCCAGCTATTGCTTTAACTCAGTCCCTTACTTTAAAGTATGCATTATTTAAAAGAAAACTCTGGTGGCACCTAAAATTGATGTTTCAGCCACAAAGAGAAATTGAGAAAAGCCTTTGAAAGAAGAATTAACTAGAATTATTATAAACAAAATGTATTTTCATTTCTTAATTTCTCCCCCCAGAATGGGTTAACAAGTGATTTAAAAGATGAAGGGTTTTTTGTTTCATTTTGTTTTGCTCTATTTTGAAATTTCACTCTAAAGCCAGGCATGGTGCTGCTTGCCTATAATCCCAGCACTCAGGACACAGGCAGGAGGATCACTGCAGGTTCAGGGCCCACCTGGGCTGCACAGCAAATCTGAGGCCAGTGTGAACTGCACAGTGAGACACTGTCTCAAAAAAAAAAAAAAAAATTTAAAATAGAAAATTATATAAAGCCAAGTGGTATGGCATACAGCTGGAATCCCAGCAGTCTGGGAGACTGAGGGAGGAGGATCACAAATTCAAGCCCAGCCAGGACAATTTAGCAAGTTGAGACTTGCTCAGAATAAAAAACTAAAAAAGGGCTGGGAATATAATTCCCAGTTCAGAGACCCTGAACTCACTCTCTAGTACACAGTCAAAAAAGAGAAGAAGAATAATAGAATTCTACCTTGTCTGAAAACTAAAGGCTTCACAGCATGTCAGTTCTGTTCAACATGTTACAAAAGCGTCTTGCAAATGTAAGGCTGGGACTCATACTCCATGAAGCCTTAATAGTAAGATACTTACTCTGAAGTGTTCATCACATCAGGGTTCCTAAATGTTGACTAATTGGTCCTTTAAATGTTTTTGTTTTTCTTGCAAAGTGCTTGATGTATTTGACTTTATTAGCACTTCAGTTTTTTAGTAGGTTGGGCTACAGATTTCCACTGAGCATTACTGTATCCCAGCAATTTTAGTTTCATTGTCATTCTATTCAAAGTATTTTCTAATTTCCTTTGAAATTCTTTGATCTGTGGACTTAGTAATATCTTAATTTCTAAGCATTTAGAAATGTTTTTATCTATTGTTTCTAGTTTAGTGCCATTGTGTTCTGAAGAGAACGCACCTTTATGACACAGAATAATAGTTTATCTGGGTGAGTGTGGTGTGTATTTGCAGAATGTGTTCTGTGTTTTTACATACAAGTTCCTCAATTTTTTAAGTGGATTTTTCCCTCCTCCGCCAACAGTGGTGTATTGTTTGTAACAAAGGGCACCTTTGGACAACTTACATGTGAGTGGCAGTATAGTTTTGATGAATTTACCAAAGAACCATTCATTGTTCATGGGAGAAGATTGCGCATTGAAGCAAAGGTATGTTGAATAGTTGGTTTTGGAAACTTGAGACTGAAAATAATGCATTTCCATATAACCATCTTTATTTTGTTTTCTGTGGGGGGAATGATTTTGTAAATAAAGTTTATTGGTGCATTTTAGATGTACATAATGATCACATTTATTATAGAGAATTTGTACCTGTAGATGATATAACTTGATTCTTTCCCCACGTTGCCCTACCCTCCCTCCAACCTCTGTTACCCTCCTTATTCACAAAACCTTTATTTCCATTTCGTCCTGATTTTCTATCATTTTTTTCTTGCTTATTTTGTAATGTTTCTGTTTTATAGATGAAAGTTACTTTGTCTTGGTATGGTTTTCCTTTACTCTTGCTCTTACCCAGTCTTAAGAAAAAAGAGCAGCTAAGGATGAAAGTGCTGCTTTCTGTGCTGTACCACTGATGGCCGTATTCCCAGGCCCTTACCTTCTGCTCAGTACTAGACCCCCGCCTTTTCTACACATGAAAAAATGATAAATAGTGACTATCAGTCTACCCCAGATGGCTTTATTTCTTCCTTTCTTGCCTTTCCCCACCCACCCTTAGTTAGCAGTCAACCTTTTTTTTTAATAAATTCATTTCTTCTGAAGTCCATATTTGTGTGATACTTGAATTAGAGAAGCTGATAAACTACTAACACCACTTTTCTCCTGTGGACCTCTTCATAGTACAGAGATAGACATCACCTCAGCAGTACCATTTTTCTGTGTGTCCCTCCATTGTGTAATGTCTGCTGTTACAAAGGTCTTCCCAACAAATACTTAACAGAATACCAACGGGAGTGGAGGCAAAGCGTTAGGATGGCCCCACCCCAGTTTCTGTGATCCCAGAATCCATGCTTGTTGTGTGACTAGTTTAAGCTGTCACAGGGGCATGCATGCATACATACATACATGCACATGTGGCGTGTATATGTGTTTATATACACAGATGTATGTATGATTTTTTACAGACTCAAGATTCCTTAGCCATATATTAAGAATTGTCTGAGAAATCTTACGAAGAGGAAATACAGTGGCACTACTCCCAGACTTACCTTCTTTCGTTTTCTGTTTAACTCTTTCTGGCCTGTGCAAGTAAAGTCTCACCATAAGCTTTCTGACTTAGGTTTGGTGAGAGCAGATACCATTAGAACGTATCATTTTGTTTTGATTCTTCTTGGCAACCCAGTTTTTGGTTTGTTAAGTGCAAGATTTGTGTGTGTGTGGTGTTTTAAACATAGAATGAAAAACTGTATGGCACTTCTTCATTGTAGTTTTACAACTGCATTTTCTTTTTGATGAAGTTATGTATTCTGTTTTTAGGAACGGGTGAAGTCTGTATTCCATGCCAGAGAGTTTGGAAAAATAATAAACTTCAAGACCCCAGAGGATGCTAGGGTAAATATAATAAACCTTTCACTTAAATCAAGTAGAACCCTCTTACTTTAAAGCCATGGAAATGAACTGTTTTTTAAAAGCAGATAAGTTCTGAGGTTTGTTTTTGTATTTTGACAGTTTCTAGTGTATGGAATTAGATAGTATCCTCCCCAAGACATTTTTTGACTAAAATTCAACTCAGTTTTTAAAATCAAATTATCTTCTTTTAAATCCTATATTTTTTTAGTCAACAGATTGTTCCATTCTAATGTTAATTAGCTGGGGGGGGGGGGAGTATGGCCTCATTGTTGATTTCTCTGCAACTACAGTGATTTAACAAAAGAGAAAAAAAACCCACAGAAAACCTTTACCTTGGCAAGGCAGAGGGAGAGAGGGAACCAACCTGTAATCAGAAAACACTGGTATGAGGAAAATCACTTAATCTTGGTTTGTTCAAAACAGGAGTGATGTGAATTGGAAAGCACTGTGCACACTTAGGAGATTGTTGCAGTTACCAGGGTAGACACTGTCAGGAGGGTGAACCGCTCCCATGAGCATGAAACAGACATGGTGTTTCTACACCATCTCATACGTACTGTACTGGGAAATTTACAGGGAGGGTACCTGATCCCTGGCCACCTGGTCAGCTTTAGAGCAGATCTCCTGGCCCTCTGGCCTCTTGACTATTCTCGAAATTGGAGCTACCTGAGTATGGCCATTTGCCAGTTTTCCTGTTAACACCCAGACCCAGAGCAGGCCTGCCTTGAGCCACATCCCAGGTAGCATCTGTTGGCAGTTTCTGTCTGAACTTGTGGTTAAAGCACCACTAGCATACGAACGGTGGGAAATGGGAATGGATTACAAACACAGGAGTAAAGCAGCCACATGCATACGTCACCTGAGACGGCACGGAGCAGGGTAACAGCTTGGCTTTGTGAGGCTTTCTTCACGTTGCTGAAGGACATTACCACCTACGTCAGTTACTCTGTAATAAATTTTCCATTTAAGTCCTTTCACAACTTGACATTGTTCCAGAAGGTTTTAATTCCCTTGCTGTGTCAGAGACATGCAAAGAAAGGTACTGGGCTCATTTCTCTCTATCTACTTGTCTTGGGAGTAACAACCTATTCCCATTCAGTTCCTCTACCTGTTCCCACCAGACTCCTCTAAAGTTGAGGAGGCAATAATCTCTCTGATGAATCTTTCATTTTCCTTTTCAGAGGGAGTGATACTTGTTTTTTCAATATATTTTTGAGTAATATATAAAGTCATAAAGTTTTACATATTAATGGAGTACCATGGAATGCTTCAGTAGTAAATACATAGTGTTTAAATCAAGTGAAACATATTTCTCTCTCAGACATTCATCATATATGGGGAAAACTTGGAAAATCCTTTTCATCTGGCCACTTTCAAGTGCATAGTATGCTATTTGTAGTCACCCTAGTGTGTGTGAGTGCGCCAGAACTTCCTGTTCCTGTGACTCAGTCCATGCCAATCAGCCTTTCCCCATCTCTCCACGTCTCCCCAGCCACTGCTGCCTCTCATTGTATTCTCAACTTCTGAAGTCAACTTTTATTTAGGTTCTGCGTGTGAGTGAGATTGTGTGGCACTGGCTTTTATATGCCTAGCTTATTACACTTCACATAACAATCTCTGTGCATCCATGCTGTTGTCACAAATGATAGGATTTAATTCTTTATGTAGAAGAATATCCCAATATGTGTGTGTGTGTCACATTGTCTGTTCATCACTTGATGGACACTTTGGTTATTTCCATTTCTTGATTACCATGTATTATGGGATTGCTGGAATGTGATAGACTTTTAACTTTTCAAGGAATTTCTGTGCTGTTTTCCATAATAATTGTATCCTTAAAAGCACGTGTTACTTAGTCCTTTAGGTATTAGCCATTCTTACTGGGTTTAGGTTTCATTATTGTTTTGATTGGTAAAGTTGAACATTTCTTTCATGAACCTGTTGGCCTTTGAGAAGTCTCTGTTTAGATCCATTGTTGAGGTTTATTGCATTATCTGTATATGTTGGCCATTAATCCCTGGGCAGAAGGTTGTACATTTTACTTCCATTCACTTGATTGTCTCTGAATATTGTTGATTGACTTTTGGTGTACAATAATGTTGGCTATATTATGCTTTGATTGTATGCTTTGGGGGCCTTACCCCCAAAATTCTTGCCCATTCCAGTGTCTTGAAGTGTTGTCTTGTAACACTTTCATAATTTCAAATCTTGCACTTAAATCTTTAATCGATTTTACTCTATTTTTGTAACTGGTGAGAAACAAGAATCTATTTTTATTCTTCTGCATGTCAAATTTTTCCAGCACCATTTACTAAAAGACATTTTCTCTAACACATGTTCTTGTTAAAGAACATTTGGCGGTAGATGAATGGGTTGAAATTCTAGGCTATCTCTCCCACTGGTCTGTGTCTTTTCATGCCAATCCCATTCTGTTTTTAATGATTACAGATTTGTAGTTTGCTTTGAAGTCAAGTAGTGTAATGCCTTCTGCATTGCTCATTTTATTCAAGACTTCTTTGACTATTCATGATTTATGATTCCATATAAATTTCAGAACTGTTCTTTCATGTTCAGCAAAAAAAAATGTCATTTTGATAAAGATTGCACTGAATTTGACAGTCAATTTGGATAGTATGTACATTTTAAGAATACTGATGCGTTCAATCCGAGGTCATGGATTTGGTGTCTTTTTCAATCTCTTTTCATCAGTATTTTACATTTTTCACTGTAGAGGTCTTATACCTCTTTGTTTAAATTTATTCCTAGATATTTTTTGTACCTGTTGTAAACTGGATTGCTCTCCTGATTTCTATTTCATATAATTTACTATTGACATTTAGAAATACTATTTTTGGATGTTAATTTTTGTATCCTGCAACTTTGCTCTATTTATGTATTTGTTCTGATAGTTTTTTGGTAGACTGTTGGAGGTTTTAATAAATAAAATTATGTCATTTGCAAATGGTGACAATTTTACTTCTTTTCCAATTTAGACACCCTTTGATTTTTTTTTTCCCCTCTTGACCTATTGCTCTGGCTAAGACTTGAAGAACTATTTTGAATAAAAGTAGTGAATGTAAGCATCCTTGCCTTCTTTTAGATAACAGAGAAAAAGGGCTCATCTTTTACTTAACTGCTGGCTTATTGTAAGTGACCGTCATTGTGTAGAAATACCTAATTTTGTTTGGCAGGGTGGATATGTAAAAGAAATTGCCACATCTGTTATTCCTGTGATAACAGTTGTAATATTTCCCTTCTAATCTGATTTTAGTTGAACCCTAAGAATTTGTCTCTTTTAATCTTTCCAAACAATGAACTGTTTGTTTTGTTGATCTTCTAGATATTATTTTGTCTATTTACTTTTCCTCTGATCTTTATCATTTTCTTTCCCTCTATTAATTTTGAATCTAGTTTGATCTTGTTTTTCTAGTCCCTTGAGATACAGTGGTGTAGGCAGTTTAGTTTTTGATGTGGCTGTTGGTTGTTATAAACTTTCTTCTTAGTACTGTTCTTGCTGTATTCCATTGGTTTTGGTATATCTTCATTTTCATTTGTTCAAAAAACTGACTTTCTTCTTTTCTGATCATTGGTTTTTCAAATTTCAGTTTAATTTCCATGTAATTATATAGTTTCCAAATTTTTCTTCTTCGTCTGGTTTACTGCTTTATAGTCAGAAGATATTTGTTAGAATTTCAGTTTTAAATTTGTCAGGACTTGTTTTGTGGTCTGTCATATTACCTATCTTGTAGAATATTCCACATGCTAAAGAGAAATGTTTTCAACAGCTATGGGATGGACTGTTCTGTAGAGGTCTTTCAGATCCATTTAGTCCATTATACAGTGAAACTCAGCTATTTCTTACTGAATGATCTGTTCATTAGTAAAACTGGGGTGCTAAAGCCCCCACTTATTATTAGAGTCTTTCTTTTTAAGACTATTGATAATTGCTTAAAACTGAGCATGGTGGCACATGCCTGTAGCTCCAAGTTACTTAGATGAGTTGAGAGGATCACTTAAGCCCAGGAGATGGGGGCCATCAGGGTCTACCTGTGTTAGGTTTCACCAGGTCAGTACCAAGTTTGGGGAGGTCCTGTGTTTACTGCCCTCTTCTTCCTGTAGCAGATGGGGTCTTACTGCACACCATGCTGCTGGCTGGGGTAATACTGGAGAACGTAGGCCTTTAGCCACCTAGACTTGACACTAAGCTGCCTCACACCTGAGTCACATAGAAGCAAGGCCCTCTGTGATGTTAGGGATGTACCACAGCCCACATTGGTGTTAGTGACGTAGGCCAACACACAAGTATGTCCTAGTAGGTTGCAAGTCTCTGTAGAGTTTCAACTACAAGTACTAGTACAGTGATGGCCAGGGTCTGAGGGACAGATGGTAGAGACCATCCTTTGCCACAGAGTCCCAGGCTAGGTTGAGTTGCTTCTGCATCCTGCAACCTCAGGGGCCTGCATAGTATCAGGAGGCAGATACATGTGCCCCAGGCCCATGCCAAGGATAGAATGACACAGATCAAGAAGTTGAGTCTGTCTTATTAACATAAAGATCTCTGCCTGATGCTAAGACTGGTCTGCAACCTACATTCATGAATCTAAGCACTGTTGGGTCTCATCAAAGGAGGCCTAATACTGGACTCCAAAACTAAACATGGTGCTGGCTTGGGCACTGCTCCCCAGCAAGTGGAGTCTTGCTCTGTTTTGCTGCCCTAGGTTGGTGGAGAGTGGTGACTGCACCTGGATAACTGCAGTTTCTAAGGTTCAGTCCATGAATACTGGCCTAACAGTAGCTGTTTGGGGGCTTTGCCCAGCACTGAGTTTCACAGTGGCAGGCCTAGAATTGGATTTCGAGGCTAAGGTCTATCCAAAATCATTCTGCGCTCTACCAAGCAGGAAGTGTCTCTGTGCTGCAATGCTTGGAGTCGGGGGAGAGATGACATAGGCAATTCGTATTCCTGCCTTAGTTATAAAAGCAGGCCCTATGGTCTCATGTGATTCCCTTTGCTTTTGTGAAGGTGCTTTGGTTGTATAACTCTTCTACTTAGTGCATCTGCGGGGAGACAGTTACTGAAGGGTCTCAGCCTCCATCTGCTAAATCTTTATAGTGGAATAAGCCTGTGTCAATTCTCAAAATTTTGATCTGTCATGCAGGCCCACTAATAATAGACGTTATTGGTGAAAAGGTTTAATTACATTTATATTTCATTTTTGTAATTTCAAATCCTTTTAGAGTACAAGATGAAAGTATCCAAAATGCTTAAGAATGTTGCTACACTACTTACTGTAGAATTATATGAGGTTATCCCTGTTCAAGCAGTAGAATTGTGCATGTGGAATTGTGGAGGTTTGTGATACAGAATTGGCACAGGCTGAATGGAATTTTGCCCAAATAATTTTCAGATCCTGCCAGTTGTTCAGTTCAGCGTCCAAATTATCCTTTTCTGTCTGGGTGGATTGCACTTTTTATATTCTGAAGATAAATTTCTAAGTTCAGAAGCCATAGGAAAACATTATTTCCAGTTAGTGACACTGTCCTAAAGCCATTTAGGCTGCTTCCTATGTGAGTTATCTCTTGTGCACTATGAATTTTCTGTCTTGGATATTATGCACATAACTAAACTGAAAAGCTAACTACATTTGTATTCATTACCTTTTGCTTCATTGAACGTTCATTAAAATAAGTAAATGTCAGATTTATTTATTGATTTATTGATTTATTGCAACAGTGGATCCTTTCAAAGCTAGAAGCAGCAAGAGAACCTTCTCCAAGCCTCTGAGGAGAGCGCTGCCACCGCAGCCGTTGCTCATTCCCGCACCGTCCTTCCAGTGCCTCTTCAGGGAGTGAATCACAGGGCTGACTTCTAAACGCTTAGAGTCCGACCAGGTAAAAGAGCGATGTGATTAAAGCTCTTCAACTCTCTGGAGATCTGTTCGGGTTCCTAGCTTGAATTATGTATCTAATTACAGTTCTCACTGCTGTATCAAAGGAAATATTTGCTGTAGGCTTTTCCCTGTTGTAGTGGAGAGGTTCTCCGTCATAGTCCCCACAGGGACTAAAGCTGGTTTCTGGTTCTTATTTTAAAATTCTATCAAGTTCAAACTTCTTGAGTGATGAGTAAATGATCAAATCAGACATCGCCTCAGTGGTGTCAATGCTGGTTTGTTCAGAAGTATGGAGTTCTTTATACAAATAAGTATTTTGGTATTTTCCCTCAGTCGGTTTGGATTATATTTAAAATGCATAGCATAATTATGAAAAACTGTTTCTTTTGAGATTGGACGTAGATTGAATAATACCCCTTCAAGCCTGGTGTTAAGAATGGCTTGAAGAAATGAACATCATGTCTGTAATGGGAAAGTCCTTTGGAACTCAAGAGCCTCAGAAACACTTCCTGGAGCCAACTTCATGAAGTCTCCTCGGTTTGTCTCACTGAGTTTTTAATAGACTTTTGACTTCCAAGGAAAATTCTTGATGCCTTAATAGTACCTAATTTTCTGTTCACTGGTGACAAGCAATGAAATTTTCCACATCTTAGATACAATGGGTTATGCTTTAGAGCAGACAGCCCCTCTCATAGTAAAAGTATGAACCCTAATCTAAACCAGTAACCCACTTGTTGGTGATACATTGATAATTTGATTTACTTTTTTGTAATTAATCAAACAAGAATCACTTCTTTAAATGTACAGCTTATCAAAAAAGTATAGACTGTACATTAGTAAAAAGTAAGGTCATGGAGGTTGTTTTTTCTTGACTTTTGTCCAAGATCTTTGCACCTTAATATTTCAAGTGTAAACGGATGAATATGACTGTAAACTATGAACAGAAGAGGCCCAGCTCAGTGTCTTAATTAGTTATTGAGAAATAGAGTATCTGGATGCATGTTATATGTGTCACCAAATTATAAACCATTTTTGGAATTGAAGCTGTATAGACAGTGGTTGTAAAATTCTCAGGCTCGTCAAACCTTTGCTTTGTTGTAAAAGCTAAAATAAACAGCATGGCAGACTGTAATTATACTTCTTGTTGACCAAATCCTACTGAGTACAATTGATTTCTCTTACTACAAAAACACTTTATCAGTGGTTTCATGTAGGGTGCCTTTATTATCCTGACTATAAATTGAATTGAGATAACAAATTTTAAACTACATGATATTGTGACCCCATAATAACCTTTTATCAGTAATGTACATATTTCCTATGTTGTTGAGCTTCTCCAAATTAATGTACCTCAAAATTTAACCTAAGTATAGGTGACCTGCGTTGAATTACCCTCATCTGGAATGTTGCTTTCCTGGAGTTTCACTCATTGCCATTAGTCAGATACCTCATTAGCCATCCCAGCTTCATGATTTCAGCATTCAGAAAAACTATACAGCCATAACTCACTGAGTGTCCCACAGTGAAATGAAAATGTAAAATAGCGTAGAAATACTTTTGGTATCCTGTGGCAACCAGCAAGACTGTGTCTTAACGAGTACACATACAAAGCCAGTGTGCCTCTGCGTGTTCCCTTCCCATAAGAACCCAGAAATACATCATTATCTTCTCTGTCAGTCACCTGCCTGTCATATCCTTCTGCCACTTTTCTGTCTCTAGAGTAGAAGGAACCAGTTTCAAGAACTGTTATCAAGTATTTTAGAAGATTGTCCTCATCTAAATGACCATAAAAGCTAAGAACATTAATAGATCACTAGATGATGAATCTTCAGCATATCATTTTATCACTTGTAATTATGTTTGATATAGTAGTCTTTTTTTCCTGTAATGAAGTTTGGAGTCTTACGCTATTTGAAAACAATGCCCTGAAATGCGTTATGTGCACTGGTTTTAGCTTTTCTTTTAAAGTATATTTGTTTCTTCTTCCCTAGTCTTAGCACTGTGTTGAGATTTTTCCCAAGGTCAGTGTAGCACAGATTGGTTATGTTTTGGCACTACATCATCGTTGCTATCTATAGGCAGTCCTTCCTTTTTACCCTTCTCTATAATGCTAATCCATCTGAAGGCAGCTCTCCTGTGGCAAATAACACATTCTTTACATGTACATTCTCTCATGCATCATAATATTTTCAGTTTTCTGATAGCATGTAGTAGCAGAACATTATCCCAGTGGCTATTGATGTACCTAGTTCATCTCTTAGAAGTGTCTCACAAATGTTATTTCATACTTGACTGGTCAAATGAAAAGGGATTCCTTAGTGCTGAACTTTCTGTAGCTTGCTTAATCACCAGTTGCGTATATTAGTTGATCCATTAAGCTATGTCACATGTCACCTTGCATTAAAGGACTTTAGGGGAAAAGTACTTGGCTACTAGCCTAGAAATCTGCATGTAGGAGCTAAAAGTGTGCCATTCTCTGACGATGGAAGTAACTCTGGCACTGGGTGTTTCCTGGCCCACTCTACACAAGTCTGCGAAATCTGTCTGGGGTCCCAGGCTTTTGTTTATCTTTTCCCAGGATCAATCAAAGCCTCAAATGTAGTGTTTTTCAAAGAATAGATCTTAACCCATTAGTGAGTTTTCAAATCAGTTAACCCCTCAAGACCAGCATGTTTTTTTTTTTGTTTTGTTTTGTTTTTTGTCTTTTTCCTTTTTATCAGTACCGGGGATCGAACTCACAACTGCCTGCTTGCAAGGCAGGCACTTATGCCGCTGAGCTAAATCCCCAGCTCCAAGACCAGCATGTTTTAAAAGTCAAGAAGAAAATAGAATAAGTAGAATGTGTAAGAAGGTTAAATACTGTTTCCTCAAATATCTGTTTTGTTAAATGCACTACTCAGTCACAATATAAAACTTCATTTCCTAGTATAAATCATAACTTGTAAAAGAACCGTGTATGAACGTGAGCAGTCCAGTGAGTGCTCCAAGTCTGAGTAACGAGGAGCCCCTTAGGTAAGGAGCAGCGAGTCCCCAGCTCAGGAACCCTTCAGACTGCGAGCGTTCTCAGGACAGTAGGATGGGACAGCTGCTGTGGTGGTGTTGCCTTTCTTACCATGTAACATATTTCCTGGGACTCAGTGACACCAGTGAAAGCATTAGGTCTACAAATGGCACCCAGAAAACACCCTTGGCTATCATTTAGCTAGATATATTCCAGCCTCCTAATGTCAAGCACTTTACTGGAACTGGGGACAGAAGTTTTGCCCATTAGGTTGAACTTGCTCTGCCTTCTGACCATCATACAGGTGACAAAAGCCCTAAAAACACACCGTTTGTTCCTGTAGGGCTCAAATACTTACATGCTGGGCAGTGCTATTCAGAGGTCAATGCATTATAACTAAAATTAATGGATTCCCTTATTTCTTTAAGATCAAGCAGAAAATAGAGAACTCACATTCCTCATGCTGACCTTAATATAATGTGATTCCCTTTGGTGCTGTGCAGTATTGTAAATAAGGAGCCCATTCACCCTCTTGTCAGATCTTTCGAGAAATACTTTACCTAACCAGGGCAGCACTAGTCCATTATAATTTTATGGTCTTTACTCTCCATAGTTTCAGTTTTGGTCAGTAGAGCTAATGCAGCTCCCCCACTTGCCCCACTACGGTAGAACTGGTCTGATTGTGGTTGTTTCAGGGCTGTAAGTCCAACCAGCACTTGCTGCACCTTGCTGTACTGTGTTACAGACCTTGTGTTTCTTCAGCGGAAACCTTTTCTCCGTAATTTTCTCCTTTGTAAAATACAGTATTTTTAAGCATTATAACTTTTTTTTTTTAACATAATGGTTTCGGTTACCCAAAGAGCTACACACAAACACAGCTTCAGATTTTACAGGTTGATATATTTTTAAAATTTTTATTACCTTATTCAAATATATATTTGTATTATAGTTTAACACCTATGATGATACGTATCAAACTGCTGTGCCTAAAACCTGTCACTGAGCTCCATTTCATATTTCTCTGGTATCTAAAGAGCGTGTCCCTTCTAGTGAAGCACTTGTAACAAGAAACGCTGAGTCTGGTCATACAGTATCTAAATAGAAGTTTACCTAAAGTAGAGCATGTTGAAACACCACAGCTTTGTTTGTCTTGCCATCACAGATCCAGTGTTAAACTTATCCAGATGTTTTCATTGTGGCAGAAAATCATTCAAGCAGCAATGTAGAATAGGTTATACTGAAATATTCTCAAGAGTGATGGTTATACAGCTGCAAACTATTAGAAATTACACCTGGGACTTGTTACAAGGTAATCATTGCTGATGTAACTGTGTTACACTAATGAAGTTTCAGAGAAGGTGTGTTTTAAAAATACTTCCTCCTGCCAAAATTTTATACTTACCAAATAATTTGTGATGCTTACTCTTGGCGATATATGGATATGGAGATTATATATAATATATATATTATACATAGATGGTTAAAGATAATTAGACTTTAAAAAATACTCCTGCATTACCTCAGTCTTTCCTTCACTTTTCTGTCACTCATCCCTTGTGTATGGGCTTGGCCCAGTTGTCTGTTACACAGCCTCAGCCTTATTTTTGTGTGTTTTGGTAGGACCATGTATAAACACAGTGTTCACAAGTGCAGTTCTTTCTCTTAACATTGAGCTCAGCCCCCTACCTTTGGTTTGTACTGACTCACAGCTTTGCTCTAACGGTGCTTTATTTCTTAGTATCGGTAGATTTGAGTTGCATGATGACATTCAGTTTAACCGTGTATGTCTTTTCAAATAAACAGAGTCCAATAAAGCTTTCTGATCTTAAGTCTGCTTTGACTTTGAGTTATTGGATAGAACTAAAACAATTGTCAGTTGCATTTGTTCACCTAAAATCTGCAGTGTGGGTCCTAAATAAAGGTCCCCTGGGAGACAAGGATTCTGCTTGTTCAGTGAGGACAGATTGCAGCCCAGCATGCTCACTGCTGACTTAAGAGCCTGAGTGGTAATCCTCAGTGACCTTTCAAGCCCCACTAGCGTCCCTTCTCAACAATTTCAAATGTCTTACTTTCTGAGTCAGTAGTGATAATTACACTTTGAAAGAAAAACTAAGGGGAGAATCTTCTGCCAGTGGAGGTAATTTAAATCTTATGAGGAAAGGTCTAGCTTTCCAAAATTTAAGAAATTACTTCATTACCAACCTTTAAATGACTTACTGCATACCCTTCCTGCAACTAGTGATTGAAAACCACTTTCCTGTATGTTTTGTCAGCCAAAGATAAATTCAACAACTCAGTGCTGGAAAATGCTTGAAAATAAAAAAGGATTGTTTAGTTTCCTTGGTTTCTGACCTTATTGAAACCTTTTCACATGAGCTGGTTGGGGAAACCCAGTTCATCATCTTTAGCCTACTGTGTGCAGGAGGGAGAACAGGGTGCCATCTTTCTGGTTTATGTCTCAACACCTGCAGAGCTGCTTCCCCATTTCTTTGTACTCTGGTGCTGAATTGTCTTGGCTGTTCCTAGACCTTCACTGTTTCACATAAATTTTAACATCAGTTTGTCAAGTTCATCTAGAGTAAGATTAGTTTTTAAGGGTTATTATAGTTATAGCAATTTCAGTCTTTCTGGCATTGATGCTCTTGTTTAATGGCTTTACACTTAGGATTGTTACAACAGAATGAGGACTTCACTGTCTAATCACTGGCTGAAAGGAAGGTGTCGAACAGCTGTATATATCAGTCAGGGTACATCTCATATAGATGTTTCTCACCTTTCAGTAAACTCATGGTAAAATGAAAATCTATACACCTGACCTGTGGGATCTTAGCCACACAGTGCACTGCTGAATAAGAACTGTTCCCCATGAAGGTCACACAGCTGACCAGAAGGCATTAGTCTTAGCTGCTCTCTGTCATCACCATAGGATGTCGCATGGTCCCTATTGCTAGCCTGAGAAAATTCCAAATTCAGAGTATGGGGGCTACCAAACATGTGGCACTTTTTCACAGTCATGAATTCAAGCTATTGTAGGTTGGAGAGCATCTAAGACCAGCAGTTCTGACCTTCCTGGTGCCAGGGACAGGTTTCATGGAAAACAGTTTTTCCCAGGGTAGGGAATGGGAATGGTGAGGGGGGTGATTCAGGTGCATTACCTTTATTGTGCACTTTATTTCTGATACTAGATTCTCAGAATATGCAACCTAGATCCCTCCCATGTGCAGCTGGCAGGAGGGCTCATGCCCCTGTGAGGCAGAGGCAGACTCAGGTGCCAGTGCCAGTGCCAGCAGTGGCAGCAGCTGTCAATACAGTGGAGCTTCCCACATTCACCACTCACTACAGCACAGCCAGCCTGTTCCTGACATGCCATGGACCAGGAGCAGGACCAGTCTGTGGCCCAGGGATTAGGAACCCTTGGTCTACATTGGTTTGAGAGAGTGTACCTTAAGTCCCTACGTGTTGTGCTCCTGTGTGCACCTTCAGATAATAGTCAAAAACAAGACCATCATAATCTTTAGTTTGAAGCACTTTGTACTTCCCAGAGGATTCTACAGCAGCTTTACCAAGCCCCAAGCGAGTTGCTAAGGAAACTCCAGCACAATGTGATGAATAGAGACGTAACTTCAAAAGGAGAAGACTTCAGAAAGTTTCCGGATTACTATTAAATCTATCATTTTTCTCTTTATGAGCAGCACCATCAACCATTTCTATAAGAAACACAACATAATCGGTGCTAGTGGCAGAACAGTATATTCTTAGCCTGAGAAAGATACATAGAGTTCAAACATAGCAGGTCTGTAGTGACCATCAGAACTTCAGCAGGGGTTACATAACATTTGCCAAACAGTTTTTCACTTTGAATTTTCCATATGAATTAGGATAGATACATGCACATGTTTCACCAATACACCATACATGATGTCTAAAACTTGTTCACATATGTCAATTTAGGCTTCACAGAGACCACATTGTGATAAAACTAAATCCCAGTACATGCAAATAATTTGACCTGGAGAATTGACACATCAAAAGGCAACTATTAAAAAAATAGTGGCATGTTAAAAGATCTGTATTTCAGCATGAAGAGAGAAAAAAAAAAAAACACTAGAAATTAGAAATTTACCTAAATCACAAAATTTAATATGTCAGCTCCATTAATACATTTAAAAAATGCACCCTAGGGGTCTGAGTGCCTCTAAATATTAGCAGACCCTCTCGTAAGTGATTTTAGTGGCTATTAGATTTTAAACATAAATCACAGTAGGCTTAAAATTCTTTAAAATACCAAATTTAAAAAGTAATACAAAACCTTTTTTTGTTTTTGTTTTTTGTTTTCTGTGTTTGTTTTGTACTGGGGATTGAACTCACAACCTCGTATTTGTCAGGCAGGTGCTTAAACCGCTGAGCTAAATCCCCAGCCCCAAATTTAAAAAGTAACACAAAATCTTGCAGCCAAAAGGCAAGAAAAGAACTATAAAAACAAATCAGAAATTAAAACTCTTAAAAAGCTTTGTAAACTCAGACTTAAGTTCCAGTCTGCTGCCCTCTCCCAGGGGTCTGTGACATCCTGGGTGCCTGCCACAGGGTCCTGGCTTGGATGATGTCTGAAGCATTTGCACATGGACCGAGGAGCTTACCCATGTCCTCTGATATGGGGGGCGAGTGGGCAGCAGCTTTTAAACTAAATTGAATTCCCTTAGATTTAGTTGTAGAATCGTGTCTTTGACTGCAGTAAACACAAAACGGATATTCTCTGTATCTGTAGCACAGGTAAAGTGGGAATAGATGACTTTCTCTTTGTCAGGATTCTGGTCTTGATAAAGCTTCAGTATAAAGTCTCTAGCAGCTTTGACATCCTGCTTTGGTCCTAGTCACAAATGCAGTTAGATCAATAAAAAACATACAGACTCATGACCATGTGCTCCTAAGAACCATTTAAAATAAGATGTCCATATTGGGATCCTCCTTTGATCTGTCTTTATTTCCAGGAAATAATTTACCTTCAACATTGTTTTTAGTATACTTCATTATGAATCCACAAAATAGTATTTTAGATGCCCACTCATATCTAAAATATGCTTCAAGAATGTTTAAAAAATAGTGGCACAATTTAATTGATTTGGACAATCATCAAGGAGAACTAATCTTGAATAACTTGTGCAGACAGATGTGGGCTGCGAGAGGGAAGGAAGAATGTGAGAATGAAGTTGAAATGAATGTAGAGCTTGAGGGCTCTTAAGTTTTGCAACCATTGTGATTAATGAAAACAGTGCAGAAACACCCTCTCCATACCCATGTCAAATGCCATGATATCTGCGACCTCTTGTACTAGGAATAATTAGCAGTAAGGTACCCTGTGTTGGAAAGGGGGTTCCACCGTTTAACCCAGGAAGCTCACGTGCTCTGACTGCCCTGGCAGTGCAAGGATAGGTTGGGCACAGCCTCGACTCCCAAGGAGCTGACCAGGAAGGGAGCCAAACTGGCAAGCCAGCACACAGTGCTATACAATAGGATGACATCCAAGGGAGCAAAGGGAGCCAGGCCATGGAGGCAGCAGAGAGGAAACGGCATAGTCATGCAGCTCTGACCAGCAGGAGTCAGAGAGGCTTCACAGGAAAGAGGAGCCCTGGGCTGGATCCTGGAGAGCCAAAAGCAGTAGGCCAGTGTACTCCAGGTGCTGGGAAGGAACTGCCAGGAGGAGGCTGGCTCTGAGCTCTCAAGGTGCAGAATGGCAAGAGGCTGTTCAGAGGTAGCACAAGAGAGCTCTATAGGCTGCTTGGGCGCTGACAGCAGGTGGTCAGTGAGGTAACAGGGCAGCAAGGTCCCCAAGAGGAGCACTTACCTGTGTATTCTGGGAAATAGCTGATAAGATGGGAGTACATGATTTTCTCTTCCAAAAGGTCCTTCTTGTTCAAGAACAAAATCACAGATGAGTTCAGAAACCAAGGATAGGTGATGATGGTTTTAAACAAGGCTTTGCTTTCTTCCATGCGATTCTAAGTGAAAAACAAAAAGGACTTAGGCTAAGCTAAAACCCACATTTGGAAACACATGCCGCGTGGCTAGTGCATCCATCAGTCCTCTTCCTGTGCTGCTGTGATCTGGACTACTGCCCATGCTGAAGCTGCTAAGGGCAAGGGCCCACAGGACCCCAGGCTTCCTGCCCTTCCCTGTGCAGTAATTGCAGTTTTCTGGATCTCCTTTCCTGGAGCATCCAAAACTCTGTAAGCCTGAAACTACAACGAAGTTATAAAGGCTTTTGTGCAAACCGGCACAGGAACACACGTGTCCACATTCGGCAGAAGCGTCCTGTGCTGTGTAACTGCTGGGATTACCCTGTGGGGAAGTGTCAACTTCAGACATGAGATGACACTTAACTGGGTGGCATTTCCAGGGTGCACCTTGGAGTCACGTGACATGGGAGGAAAAGAGGCTCCTCCAGCAGGGCTGCCATCCTTAGAATACCAGATGGCAGCCACACTCCCACTGTGCCACACTGTACATGTGGAAAAGGAAGTGTCCCTGTTGGGTAGGTGAGCACAGTGTCTTTCAGAAAATGCACAGAACTGCCCTAGCCCATGGAATAGGGGGATCTGGTAAGGATGACGTACAAAGGCTGTAAGTTCCAGATACTAGACATTGACAAGGAAATATTAAGTGCTCCTAACTTGAGGAAAGAGTGCATGTACAAATCCCACCTGATGACAGTAATTGTTCTAGACAAATTCTGCTCCTAAGTACTCCTAGGAAAAAATGAAACAAGAACTTACCTTTAGAGAGGCATGTTCCCAGACAAAAAGCATCCCAGCCTAACAACTGCGCTCAGAGGCGCTTAACTCAACTGCTACAGTCCCCAGGTGTCAGGACTTGCTCCTTGCAGTGCATGGAGGGACTGAGATCTGAACACATTAGAGAGAGGGGACCTGTTACATTTTCTTAAAACCCCTGAAATTTACTAGGATCTTGTCAACAGTAATTCCAAAGGAAATGTCTTTAAAATTCCTCTACAGAATAGGGAATTGGATAATAAATTGTCCATGACCAAAAAAAGGAAAGTCTGGCATAATAGCCACTTAAGTTTCTCCAAATACTTTCTGATTTTTAGGGAAGGAAAAAATGTTTAATTTCTAAGCGCATCAAGCCAAGTTGCTGGTTCCTTGTGCACTTGACTATTCTTTTGACTCTCCTGAGAAACATCCTAAATAATCCCTGAGACACTTGGGAGCCAATTTTTTACATTGATAACAGGATACCTGTTTTTGTTGTTTTGTTTTTGTTTGTTTTTAAACAATCCCACTTGGGAGAGCTGAGCAGCAGCTAAGATGTCTCTTCTTCACACAATGACACCAGTAAACGAGTTAATCCTCTAATTAGCAAAGGAAACAATGTCCCTAGAAAGGAAGTTATGCTTAAGAAATAAAAGATATGATTTGTTTATAGTTATTGCCTAGTCCTAGAAAGAGTTCTTTATTGGTTTATGTTTGTGCTGTGGATAGAGACATTTTTCAAAAACATCAAAGGTTTTTGTGCATGATCAGAGGGAAAGATGAAGACATCAGCATCCGACAGAACATAGCACTGGCCTCACGAATTAGTGTTGCTGGTCCTCGTCGTGTGGGATGATCTCACAGTGGGACTGGACCCTCCTAGATCCATGTGGCTCTGCAGTGGGTGTCGGATGCCTGACTGGGTTGGATCGGCCCTAGCTGCCCCGAGTGAGTCCCTCCCATGGGAGTGAAGGGCAGACACAATCCCAGCAACCACAGAAGACTACAAGCATCCGATACCACTGTCCATACCACCCTAGAGACTTAATTGGGAAAGTTGTGGTCTCTGGAGGTTTGTGTTCACATGGTTTCTCAGTCAGTGTTGCTCTCGCCTGGTGGTGCATTAGAATCTCCGGGGGTCTTGGAAAAGAAAACCCTCCACCTGAGTCTAGTAACTATAATTTTCTAGTGTGGGGCCCACAATGCCATATTTTTTCAAAGCTCACCAGGGGATGCCAGTATGCCACCCAAGGAGGAGAGTGTCTACCTTCAAGTAGCTTCCACCCTTCAGAGTATGTTAGCATCACTTGGAGAATTATTTTTAAAATCCCCACACTCAGAAAGTGTAGTTACAGTTGAACAGGCTGACCTTGTGGAAGAACCAGATCCAGAAGTCATGGCTAAGAGGAGAGTTTTACTTGTGAGAAACCTGGCTCCTACAGTGACAGAAGAAATGCTGGAAAAGTCTTTCTGAAGTTAAAAAGCTGGAAAGAGTAAAGAAGTTGAAAATGATGCATTTGTTTCATTTTGAAGACAGAGGAGCCGCTGTTAAGGTTCTGCATGAAATGAAATAGAAGGGGGAAAAAATTGAAATAGATTGAGCTAAGCCACCAGACAAGAAAAGGAAAGAACGCCAAGCAGCTAGACAGGTCTCCAGAAGTACTGCATATAAAGATTATTGCTGTCACCCTCTCCTCGAATGCCATCTCCAGTTATAGGTCGAGGTGGAGGTGGAGGTGGCTGTGGCTGCCCTCCATATTACTGAGGCCATGAATACTGTGGTTACAATTATCATGACTATCATGGAGGCTATGAACGTCCCTATTACAGCTATGATGATGCTTATGAAGAAGAGGAAGGGGAGGGCAAGGTGCTCCACAACCACCGCCAAGAGATAGAGCTGGATATTCACAAAGGGGGCACCTTTGGGGCCACCAAGAAGCTCTAGGGGTGACAGAGGGGTTCCTGCACAATAGCAGAGAGGCCATGGTTCCCATGGAGCTCGGGGCAATCATGGGAGCAATGTAGGAGGCAAGAGAAAGGCAGATGGGTACAACCAACGTGATTCCAAGCATCGTCAGACCAACAACCAACAGAACTGGGGTTCCCAACCCATCACTCAGCAGCCGCTTCAGCAAGGTGCTGACTATTCTGGTAATTGTGGTTACAGTAATGACAACCAGGAATTTTATCAAGATACTTATGGACAACAGTGGAAATAGACAAGTGAGGGCTTGAAAATGATAGTCAAGATATGATTGGCTCTAGATGGATATTCTTCAGAAAAAAAAATTGGCTTAACTATTTCATCTTTAAGTAGGAGTTTGCTGCCATTTATTTGGGCCAAAGAAATCACTAAAGTCTCTTTATTTTCCTTTTCATAAATGCTCTTGGACATTATTGGACTTACAGAGTTCCCTTATTTTGGGAGTTACAATGCTTTTATCATTTCAGGCTTCATTTTAGTGTCAGAACAAGTTGTTAAATCATGATTTTGCAGAACCTTCAGTTTGGACAGGTTTCTTGGGTTTTTTTTTTTTTTTTTTTTTTTTTTGGATTTGGGATAGATTACATAGCAGTATGAAAGTATAAATAAAAACTTCTAAGACAAAGTACTAGCTTGTATTTAAGAAATTAAACAAGTTTACTTGTTTTCTTGTGTTTACAAGTTTTACAAGTTTTCTTCTGTTTAAAATAACCTATGACTGACTGTTTTGCATTCCTAGAAGTAAGTTAACTGTATTTTCAAATTGTTGAAACTTCACACTTTTTTGAAATAAACATCAAAGCTGTAACAATTTGCTCTTTGATGAGATTGTGTTTCCAATTTCTTGTTTATGTAAGATTTCAATAAAACTCAAAAATCTATTTTAAAAAAAAATCCCCACACTCAGGCCACATGCACTACCAATAAAGTTGCATCTCTGGAGTTGAACCCAGGCATGAGTTTTCCAGTGTGCATTGAAGTTTAGAACTAAGATTCACAATCATGTACAATCTTGCATCACATAATCATTTGGTAAACATATCATATAGGATAACAGTCCCATAAAATTAGAGTGAGGTTGAAAAATTTCTACTGCCTAGTAGTTCTAGCTTATCGTGGTCAGTATTTAATATGTCATACCATTGTTTTAAAATTGCTAACAGCATTGAGTACTGTAACATACTACCCAGGTTTTTAGTCAGAGAGCATAGGCCATAGTCATACAGCCCAGGTGTGTAGCAGACTTAGCTGTCTAGGTTTATTCCTGTGTACTCCGTGGTGTTAACACAATGATGAAATCACCTATTAAAAGTATTTCTCACAGTATATATTTGTTTTAGTTACTTTTCTCTCATTGCTGGGACAAAATGGTCCACATCCAAAGTTAAAGAGGGGAAGGTTTACTTAGCTCACAGTTTGTAGAGGTTTCAGTCCATAATCTGCTGGCTGCAAGGCAGGATGGCACATGGCAGACTGGCAGCTCAGAAAAGAAACAGTCATGGAGGGCAGAAGTAGCAAAGCAAGCAACAGAGACAAGACAAGCCTCCTCCTGTCCCTTTTATTGTATCCAGGCTGCCAGGATTAGGGTGATACCAATCCCATCAGTGGACTGATTTACAAATCACCCACTCTTAATTTTAGCAGCCTGAACTGTAGCATTACACTGTGAATCAGTCACACACTCTGGATTCATCCACCTTAGAAAAAGCCCCACCAATGACTGAGGCTGTAGGGGGACATCTAGACACAAGCTGTAACTGTGCTTGTCATCAAGCGGCACATGGCTGTCTCCGGATTACCTGAGAACTCAGTGCAGGCTCTGATTTGGTTGGAATGATTCAATAGGCTGTATTTCTAACAAGTACCTGCTGCTGCATGTTCACAGATTACACTTTGAGTAATTAAGACCAGTTAGTCACTGGATCTGCTTTGTTGGCTTGTTGAGGACCACAGCAGAGGTCTCTGCCTTCCAAAGCTACCCTGTGTGTACCATACCCGCCCAGTGTACCTCATTGTCACACTCAGCCAAGACTTGGTCATATTCACTCAGAGCAACCAAGAAAATGATGGAGGTGACACTCTCAAAGCAGTGAATCCATTTCCGTCGCTCTGATCGCTGGCCGCCAACATCCACCATCCTGCTCAACAAAACAGACCACAGGAAGATTAGAACATAAGACTCTTGAGGGAAAGGATGAGCCATGATGCCATGGAGTTGGTGCTTCCTGGGACCCTCGGTAATTTCAAGAGTGAGGACAGGTGCTAAATCGCACAGAAGAAGGATGCCAGTTTCTAGAAACATGTCTTCCCGATGGACAACAGAAAGACAAGTCTCTCACCACTCTGAAACTGTGACCTCCCACAGTCTGCTTGCCCTGAGAGAAAGGGCCATTCTGCCTATGAGATGCAACGCCAGCTTAGGAAGAACATGCATCTGGGAACTTGAGGCCTGGCTGACAAGACTCCTCAGGCCCACGCCTGGGAGACAGGCTTACCGAAAGATGATGTTCTCTAAGTCAAATGGGTACTCGATGATGCCAGTGGTGGGCACTCGGACACGAAGCACATCTTGCTGTGTGGGCACAAATGACGGCATGGCAATCCGGTCGATGTCAGTCAGGTAACTGTGGCATTAAAGGAGGAGAAGCCAGGGGCTGGGGAATTTGCTGTGCAGCATAAGCACCTGCCTGGCAAGCACGAGGTCGCGAGTTCAACCAGTGGTACCAAAAAACAAAAAAAGAAGCCGAGACATTTTAGAGATAGGAGAAATGTCCATCCTGCTCCGGAGATGTTAGCCCCAAATAAAACACACATCCCTGCCCCTGCACCCCCCCCACACACACGCAGATACATGGATTTTTTTTTTTTTTGGTCAGTACCAGGAATCGAACTCACGACTGCCTGCTTGCAAGGCAGGCTCTTATGCCGCTGAACTAAATCATCTGCAAGCCGAGGTGGCCCTGCCTTCTCCGAGCACAGCCTGGACACTAGTTCCTGACCACGTGGGTGTGCAGGTGAACTGAAGGGCCACAGGAGAGCCAGACACATTGCCGCCTGCAGCCCAAAAGCCCAGGCTCTGGGATCACCTCCTGTCCCAGCCCTGTGCCAGCCCAGGGCTCATTGGTGGTCTCCCCACACAGCAGCCCCTTTCTCCTTAGCTTTCCACACTTCGCTGCCCATGGGTATCGTGGTGCAAAGTGTTTCATCAGTTCTGATCTGTTGTTTTTTTGGTTTTTTTTTTTTTTTTTTTTTTATCTTTTTCGTTTTTATCGGTACCAGGGATCGAACTCATGACCACACACTTGCAAGGACCTGTTGTTTTTTGCTTTGCTTTTAGAGATATAGGGTCTTGCTGTGTAAGTAGACGGGACAACAAAAATGTACCACCATACTTGGCAACAGTTTCTAAGTTTGAAATCATGTTATTCTAAATCGAATGATAAGATCTGATACTGTGCAATTCTGAGCTGCTCTAGACATGAATCATCCCTTTAATGTATGCACACTGTTCACCTCTAGCCTGTTAGTCACTGAGTAGCTGTGTAAGTTATGAGAGCGTCTCTCATGGCATCACAGGACTTGGGTTCAGTAACTCTTACTTCACTTGCTGGCCCCAACAGCTGTTCTGTATTATTATTAATTCTTAGTCACTATTAACCTCCTACGGTTATGGCTTAGATTCCCCCATTCAAAGGCAGGGTTTTAGGGAGGTCATCAGACAGGGGCCTGGAAGCTGACTTGCTGTTAGAAGCTGACTTCTGATTGGAAGAAGCAGTCGCTGGGGGCATAGCTTGGAAGGAATTCTCTCCCTTCCCAGTTCTTCCCTTGACTCTGCTTCCTGTCTGCCACCCCCATGGTCAGCTTTCCCTGGGCCGTGCTGTCCTGCCTTATATCCAGCCAGGTATGGATTGCAACTGGAGCCAAAATAAATCTCTCCTTACATTGTGGGTGTTGAGTATTATGTATCAGCAGCAGGAAGTGACTAAAACTTTGTTCCAGGTGTATGAATGAAACTACCCTAAGTACACACAGGAAAAGTGCGGTGTGTACAGGATTTGAGCCTGTCTGTGGTTTCAGGCTTCCACTAGAGATCTTGGAATGCACCCCAGGAGGTGAGGAGCAAATGTCACCTTCACGGTGTGATTTTTTGTTTTATATATCTGTCTTGTGCTACACACTCCCCTGAGAGCCCTGGCTGCTCTTGCAGCCCTTGCCTGGCACATAACAAGCATTCATTAAATTTTGGTGAAGAATACGTGTCCAGATAAGCAGACAGTACTGGCAGATGTTTGAGAGCCACTGATCTGGGCCAAAGAAACACAAATGCCTCGTCCTACAGATTGTGAAGATGCAACAGCTGTCTGGTTTGTAAGTAGGTCTGTCCACCACCCTGGCCACTTCCACATTCTTCACAATGGATCTGCCTCAGTTTCCAGGATTGCACTAAATTCTGTCATGTTCTCGTGGGTCTTTTCCAAGTGGATCTCCATGGTGCCCCTCACTAATCTGCAGAGACCTCACAGAGTGGATAATACCTTGCAGCCTCCAGAGGAAACTGGGGAGACCATGGCTCCTCCTCAGGCTTTCGGTCTGCACCTCTCATTGGGGAATTTTCTTCCTTCCAGCTCTGCTGGTCTAAGAGATTATAGGTTTTGTGTCTGTCCTCTGTGCCATCCCGGATAATGGCACTGAACCCTCAGCCTGAAATGGATGCCAGAGGGAAGTCGTAAAGAAGATACCATTTCCTTTCCTGTCCACCGCCTCATCCAGACAGTGAGGAAAGCTCACACCCATGCCAGCTCAGAAGGTAAGGGCAGCATCTGAGTGGTCCTGGGAAGGATTTCAGGGACCTCGCAGGATGGACGATGCTATTCAGGGAGGGAGAAAGCACTGTCAGAGCCGAGATCATCAGCTCTTCAAGACACGTTTGCCCAGTGACCTGGATGACAGATACACTGCTTCGAAATTCTCAAGAATATAAACATCTCTGTGGGAGCTTGCATGCAGGACCATCTAAATAAAAATTGTTTATCTTCAGGGATTAATGATTTAAAAGTTAGAGCTCTTTGTAAGGTGTAGTGGCACGTGTAATCCTAGCCAGTCAGCAGCCTGAGAAAGGAGGCTTAGGAATTTGAGGCCAGCTTGGAGAACATAGCAGGACCCTCCTCAGCAAGTAAAATAAGCAAAACCAGAACTAGACTGATCAGAAACAGCACCTAGATTTTGTAGGGGCCCAGCAAGCAAATGAGCAGAGCTGCTTCTGTGCTTTGCCTGAAGATTCCTGTCTCAGCCACTAGAGGGAAGCATCAGATCAGCCGCTGAGCCCTACTCTGAAGTCTGATTTTAGGTTTGAGGGCAAGTCTGGCTCCAGGCAGCCAGAAGGGAAGAGAACCAGAAGCAGGGATATTCCTTGTTTAAATCCTAACTTCGATACCCCAACGAGGTCATTCCCACCAAGACGACTCCCAATTTGATAAAGCCTCTGATTAAAAATAGCAGGCTTAGCATACAGTGAGAAGAGGCAGTGAGCGGGGACAGTGGGGAGCCCAGGGATACACGGAGGATCAGAGGGCTTGGGGAGGTGATCAGAGAGAACGCGACAGGCAACAGGGAGACATGGCCAAGTCTGCCTGGAAGCCAGCGGGAGCACACTACTCACTACTTGGCGGAGTCTGACAGCTGGTACTCCCTCCTCCGGTCGTAACACTCCTGGATGCCTGGGTCCTGCCACAGCTGCTTGATGGCCTCCACCTGGTCTCTGGAGAGCATGGAGACTTTGTCCACATCCACTTTTCTGATTATCTGGGCATTTTCCTACTCAATTAAAGAAGAACCTTACGTTAGGTGAAGAAGCCAACCACTTGGTAACCTGTGCAGCTTACACTGATCTGTGAATTGGGGATCTTGCTAGTTGTGGGAGTGGGGCGAATCCTGGAGGGCTGTGTCCAGGCAAGCTTTCCCCTGCAGCCACAGTGAGTTCAGCTTAGCAGACACAGAGGAGCCCGTGCCCTGAGACCTCTCCAGCAGCATCACAGTCATCACCCAGGGCGAACAGAGAAACAGTGGGCAAGGTCCACTGCAGGCCACTTCCTCATTAACGCATTGCTCATTTGAGTACCGAGCCAGCAGCTCAGAAATACTATATCCACGACATACCAAGGGTGGGGCAGTGATGGTGGGTTCATCCAGGAACAAGCAATCAGGGGATGCATTGTCTCTGAGAAGCACCAGAGAGTAACACCAACTGTTCATCTGCGTTCTTCTCCTTATTTAAAAAATAAGCTTTACTTTGTGGACCAGTTTTTCCTTCACTGTAAAATCAAGTGGAAAGTACTGAGTTCCTATGCAAACCACTTGTTACTCTCGGACCTTGCTGATAAAAAGACTCAACGCTCCTATTGTGTTCCCTTCTCATGCTACTGGTTGCCACAGTCTGTTTTATTATTATCATGATTATTAAATAACTGTTGCCCTAATACTAGTGTTCTACTATTGCAATGACTTAAGAGATTATTCTAAAATCATTAGTTTAAATAAAGATCACTAATACTATAATTATTATCATTAGAGTAGTTGGCGTTTGTTGGCCCCTTGCTATGTGCCAGAGGCTCTGCACGCACTGTCTCATTTAATCAGTGGGGGTCAGTACAGGGCTGAAAGTCTTTCTGAACTTTGGAAAATGTAAATGATGCAGACGACTTGTACCCACATTTCCATGTTTTGGCTCCTGAGGCTCAGCATCCCGTCCTCTGCTTCAAGCTGTGACAGGCAAGAGAATCTCAGTGGAATGGAGAGGACCCCAGGCCTTTTCTGCCTTCTCTCAAAAAAACTGTATCTTGCAGTCATCCAACTGGAGAAAGAGGACCTGACAGGTTCACTTGGAACAACAGCTTTGCCCCACATACATCACAATAGTGAATAAGGTCTTGCCTGAGACTGTGAGATCTTCGTGCAGTATGGGTTAGTGCAAAGTGTCCAGGATGAGGAACCAGAACCCGGGCTTTCAACCCATACAGCTGGAATCATAAGGACCTGGACAAGTTATGTCTTGGTGTCCTCATGTTCAGAGGGAGCCAGTGATGTTCAGGACAACACAAAGCCTAGACTATGAAGCATCACTCATGCATCAGTACATCTTGCCTTACAGCTGTAGCAGATGCCTGATAACAGCAAACACAGGACACATCAGTAGCCCCTAAGCCTCAGTGTCTGATCCACTAGCACGTGTCCTCTCCTGGCCAGCGAGGACAACAAAAGACAGTCCTAGATAGTGTATGTCTCAGCACTGCCTCTCCCCTTCTCTAGCCACCCCAGTTCCTCCCAAACAGGATCAGATGGTCTCTTTCCAACCTCTCACCTCTAAATTTAAAATACCTGTCCTCCTGTGTCTCAAGCTAACTCAAGGAATGCCACGAGTACAGAGCCAGTGCCACTCTTGACCTATTAGCCCACCTAGTGCAGGTGTGCCCTGTAGGCATGTACATCTCATAGGCATCACAAATGCTTATGGAAATTCACCAATCTATAAGATCAAAAGCCACAGCCAGAGGGCATCCTACTGTGGCAGGGTGACACAGGTCTGTGCAAGTATCCAGGGGACTAGAAGGGGCCCAGGGTGCCTCCCAGGGGCGGTGGTCTGTTTATTCTGCCCACGTGGCAGTCAACACCCTTATTTCTCACATGCCTCTTGATTAACAGCTAAATTCATGTTGGCTGCCAAAAACTAGTGCTGTGACAATCATCAGGGGTATTGCAAATGTATTTGCACCTCTCTGTCTCCCAAACACAAGGCTTGTACTTCAAGATGAATGAAATGAGTGGGAGTAACTTGCATCTCTTTGGGGAAGAAGCTTAAAAGAACCAGTGAATAATTCACTGCGTTCCCCTCCACCTACTCTGGTGACAGTAAAAATGACACAAGACAGAGCCTCTCTCTCCAGGGTTCCCAAGTGAGTGCAATGAGCAGAAACCCCAACACCACACATTTGTGTGGCATGAGCGAGATCAGTCATAAGTTATCAGCAATGAGTTAAGAGAGCTGAACTTTGGGGGCAGTCTGTTACCACAGCATAACCTACGACATGCATCACGACTGATACATGCTGCAACAGACAAACTAGCCTGCCTTAGCTCTGCTAGTAAAGGGGAAAGCAGATACCACTGAGATGATAAAGAGCAAGGCAGGTGGCCAGGGATGGGAGCCCCGAGAAAGCACAGAACTGAGCCAAGGGAACACAGCCAGAGGGGAAGACAGAGTCTGCTCAGCCAGCTGAGGGATTTGGGGGAACTTGCTGGAAGGAAGAGAGCTGAGGCTCCTGGGAAGCCCAGTGAATGTGAAACAGGCTGTACACAAGTGGCCGAGAAGTTCATGTTCAAAGGACTCTTCAGTGCCATTGGCTCCTTTCATGTAGCTTTCCTGCCCATCAAGGTCTTTTTAAGTTTTTACCTCTTATTTTGCAATAATTAAAGACTTTAAAAATATGGGGGAAATGGTTCAAAGACTTCCTCTATGCCCTTCTTTCAAGATTGGTCAAATGTTAACAATTTACCACCTTGCCTTACCATTTTATACATTTCTCCCACCAGTTTGCATGGATATAAACAGGCATACACCACCACACGTGTAGATCTTTTTCCCGATTATTTGAGTGTAAGTTGCAGACACTTTTCCTCATCACCTCTAAATCCATTAGTGTGATTTCTCTAGCATAACCACTATATAATAATCACAATCAGGAATTTACATTGATACACTTTCACCTAAGCTTCAGATCTTTCCAAAGTTTGCCAGTCATTCTATTAATGTGCTTTATCTGGTCTTCTTACGGCACCAATACCAAACCAAAAGAAAGACACTTCACATCAAGGAGTTGGAAGGCAACTTTTTATTATGCCAGTAGGCTGGTGGGGATCAGTTCCAAATCACCAGCCCTGAGTCAGTTTTGGGTTTTGCTTATATAGGCTTTGCAAGCAGGAAGTGCAGAGGCTTGAAAGCTGGTGGGTTTTCATTGGGTTGAGTTAGTTCTTGTCTGTTGCTGGGTAGAGAGTTCTTAAAATATGTTAGAAAAATAATATATTTTTTAGGAGGAAAAGCACAGATGGTGCAGCTGGATGTGGTCAGACTGACCCCAGTCAGGCCATCCAAGAAAAGCAGCTGGGTATGGTCAGTGGAGGCTGACTGGGGTTAGCAGTGTAGGTAGATGGCAGGCAGGATGAGCATATCTTGTTCCAGTATGATATCAGGCTGCTAGTTAGCTTTAAAGTTCCAAAATTTCTGTCACAGTCTAAGCCCACTCCAGGGACACATGTCACATTTAGTGTCAATCTCTATTTCCATTAGGAAAGGTCCTGCAGTCAGAAGAGTTGTTCTTGTCAATGCTGACCAAGGGTAGCCTGGCAAGTGACTTCTTCAGTAGTGAGTTGTCATGAAGGTCCTGGTAGAGAAGGTGGCACAGCTGCGGCCCCAGTGTTCAAGGGACAAGGGTTAGGAGGCAGGGAGGAGTAAGACAGTGACCTCTCACCTGAAACAAAACTTGGGATGGATGACCTTTGTATCTGTTCGCCACGTTTTGTGTCACAGGAGTGGAACGCCCTGCACACCTCTCTGGTGGGACTGAGCATCTCATGCACAAGCAGGCAGACATCTCAGAGGGCAGCAATCCAGCTGCCTCACCTGTGCACAAACACCAAGAGCAGGGCAGGGAGTTTCATGACATTTAAAAACGTCACATTTAAAAAAGAGCACACAAGGTGAGGAGAGGGTCAGGCCTGAGGTCATCACAAGGTGGGGAGGGCTGTGCAGAGCAGCAGGCAGCCAGCTCTAAACGGTGTGCAGGAGGTAGAGGAATAAAACGGGTCCACACGGTAAATGGGTGCAGGAAGTTAAACATTCAAACTAATATCTCTTTGTTTCTCTGGTGTGAGGGACTCCAGGAACACCAGGGTTGATGGATACCAGGGAAGAGGAGGAGCATGCTCAGAAGAGAAGGGCAATGAGAATGGGGAAAAAACAGAATAGAAGGAAAAATAGAAGCGAAACTTTTGTAAATGGGGAGAGAAAGAGAAGCTGAAGGGAGGGGAGGAGGGAAAAAAAGGGAAGAATCCAGATATATACAGGTACAAATTGCCTATGACAAACACGATCAGTATGTATGATAAATATGTACTAATAAAAACTATAAAGTTAAAAAAATTTAAAATAAGTGTATTGTACTCTATGGCAAAATCCAGTCTATAGCAACATATTAAGTTAGAACTGCCTAATACATATGCTTAGTTGAAAGGAAAAAAAAAAAAAGCTCAAAGGGACAAGTTTTTCGGGTTTTTTTGTTTTTGGTACTGAGGATCGAACTCATGACCTTGCACTTGCTAGGCAAGGACTTTATCCGCTGAGCTAAATCCCCAGTCCAAAGGGACAAATATTGAAAGAATAAACCCAGCAGAAACATGACCACATTCTTAAAACACAGAGCTCGTCACTTAACTTTTCCTTTTCCTCAAATAAAATCACCATCCTCACCACTTTAAAGGGGAACGTAAAACCAGAGGTCTCCATGTGTGTCTCACACAAAAATTCCTAGGGCAGTTGATGACTTTGCTGGCTTCATGAAGGGCCCCTGGCTGCTGGTGACAGTCCTTGTCAAGCACAGGAAACCCTCTAGCTGGGATCCAGTGCCCAGCGGGCCACTAACCACCAGGCCCTCGCCACAGGACTCCTTCCCGATGAGTGGGCCCAAGATGGCGGCCCAGAGCCCACGCCCAGGGCTGACTTTCCTACTGAGGAAAGTGACTCTGTCTCCCAGGGACACTTGAAC